CCTCCTGCTGCGTGGCTCAGCCGTCGTCACGGTGAGGACAGAGCAGCAAAGCTGGAAAGACCTTTTTTAATAATAATTTGCCTCGTATTTACCTGTCCAGTTTGTGTGTCAAGGGGAATTGCTGGAGTTTGCAGAGGATGGAGAGCTGGTGGTGGCAACTCGGGTTGGTGGCTGCGCTGTGGCTGAGCTCCGGCCATGTGGATTGTCTTGCTGCCATGCACGAGAATCCCCTATTATCATTCTGCATCGCTCTGAAAAAGGCCCTTTCTGGTAGCAGCAGAACAAGCACGGCATTGTGCCACAGCACTGTGCAAAGTGAGAGCACAGCTCAGGGCTGTGGGAGCTCCGGGAGCAACGCTGCTGCTCTCCGTGCATCGCTGCGCCGTCCCGAATGCTGCCGCTCCTGGGGAGCACTGAGTTAATTGAAACGAAGCTGGTGGCGGCTGCAGGTGGATTTGGAGAGGCTGAGGATGGCCGTGCAGCAGCTTGGTTCAATGGGTCGGGCCTGAGCGCTCCAGGCTGGGTGGGTTGGGGTTGGCTGTGAGCTTAGAGAACAAAAAGGAGGAAACTCGGGCATGCTGCGAGCGCTGAGACACAAAACAGGAAGCCTGGCGGAGGGTTACGCTCTCATAATTTATTGCATGCCTTTCCCTGCTCCTGCTAACGGCCAGGAGAGAAGTTTCAATGCTCTGATGGTTTTGCAGGGCTGAAAAACGCATCCCTTCGGCTCATCCCCTTCAGGGAGAAAACCTCCATCTGTTTTTGACGCAGACGCAGGAGCCGGGGCTTTTCTTCTTCTGACCCCAAAGGCTTTTTGCCCGCTCCTGCTCTCGCATTGCTCCACCTGTTGTCCTTCTGGATGCTTTTAACCCACTGCCGTTTGCCCTCAGGTTCTGCTGCTGCAGTTCTGGAGCTCCAGCAGTGCTGCACTGTGGCTGCGTGTGGTTCTATGGGAGGTGGTTGGTGGTGCAGCCCAGGTTCTGCTCATCTCCAGCCCGAGGTTCTGCTCACCTCCAAGGCTGCCTCCCCTGCTTGGTCTCTGCTGGTGCTCCTGTTGTGCTGCTCTCTCCATCCCTTGCTGTGGTGGATTTCACGTTGCTCTGCAGCTTTTCCATCAGAAGAATGCAGCTGGTTGGAGAGGCTCCTTTCCTTTTAGGCTGAGAAATGTGATCACTTTGTTTCTGGTTACGGGACGATGTCTGTAAGTGTGACCTTGGGGGAGGAGCTGTCACGGGGCTGGAGGTGATCACAGGCAATGAACTGCCAGGTAATGCCTCCAGCAGTGAGGTGGGGAGACGTTTCTGTGGTGTTTGCAGAGGTGCAGGTTGGAAAGCAGAGCAGCAGAAGCAGCGTTCCGGGTGATGGCTGTGAGCGGGTTGGTGCTCCGTGCAAGGAACAGCCTGACAGCCTGGGGATTCGCTGTGTGTGTGCTTGGACGTTGGGTTCCTGGGTGCTGGAGGAGCAGTGCAGCTCAGGTTGTCATCGCTGCCCTCAGCAAGGTGAGGGGAACCACAGGGAGGGTGGAACTCGGCGTTCGACGATTTGAGGTCAGCTGAAGTTGCTTTTGTAAGCAGCGGCATGCGAGGGTTCCTTGTTGTCACCACAGGAAGCTCAGGGTGCTGATGGGGTGCCTTGATGTGCTTTGCCTCGTGATCCCACCCTCAGCTTTTCTTTCTAGGCATCTGTCGGCACTTCATAGAGGCTCCTCGCACGCAGCGAGCTCACGCACTGCAGTGCATTTGGTGCATCTGGTGGTGCACAGGTGTGCAAAAAACAGGTGCTGCATTAACACTCCTTCTCCAGCACGTTACCTGTGCGTGGCATCGCTTCCATTGGTTCCATCTGGGGATGGTTCTGTAGGACCCTGTGTGCAGTGCTGGGCAGGGAGGGGGGGCCGTGCAGGGACTTTGGTGGCGGTGGTCCCCGCAGCTGCTTTGTCGCCATGCCCTCAGCACATCCATTTGCACAAGCAGCCCTTGGCTGTGCTTTAGAGGCTCCTTCACCTTTCTGCACGACTTTATGAGAATAATAAAGCAGAAAAGATCCATTATTTCTCTTCAACACGTGCCACGCTGGTGTGGTGGAGGCGCGCTCTCCTTTGGAACAAGGCAGGTGCTCAGAATAGCAGCAGCTGCCACGGGCCGGGCTGGAGCAGAGTCGGTGAGTTGTGCTGTCAGTCACAGGAGCACGAATCCCATCCCACCTGCGGATGAGCATTCCTGAAATAGCAGAGGGCTGTCAGCATGCAGCAAGCTGCACTGCGCGCATCTCCGCCCCGCGCTCGGAACAGAAGGCAAAGTTGCAATGGTTCAGCTGCACGGAGCAACTGCTCTGCAGCACTGATCGGATGAGGGTCTGCTGCACAGCAGAACCACGCTGCTTTTCCCCTGGGAATGATCCCAAATTGCTGCTTTTGGATTTTAGGGGTGGCAGCTGCCCTGCTGTGTGTCTGCAGGTGTTGCCAGGTCACATTTCTGCAGGCATCCCTGTGCAGCTGGGTGGATCCCCAGCTGGATGCAGGGTTTGCAGCTCCTCCAGCCTCGTGCTTTGTCCTCACTGTCGTCCTGCCCTCCTTGTCCTGCTGGTAGCTGCGTCCACGATGCCTCCCTGCTGGTGTGTGGGGCTGGGAGGCGGGCTCTGCATCCGGCACTGCTGCCAGCATGCTGCGATTCTGAAGTGCATCCAAGCTAAAACTTAATCAAATATAGTGTTTAATTACTCTGAAAGGACGTCTAACCTGTGCGCTGGCACCGGGTTTCGATCTCTTGTTGGCCGTGTGGCTCTGATCCCAGCATGGGGTGGGAGTGGGGGCGCAGACTGCCTGCAGCAGAGCTTGGTGTGCTGCTGTCCTCGTCGCCTGCACCTCCCTGCTGGCACGTGGCTGCTTTGGAGCTGTGCTGGGAGTGAATGGGTCCGCATGGGGCTGCAGCACTGCTCTGCCACGGAGGCTCAGGTGCTCCCAGGGCTCTGACCGTGGGTTTATAGCATCCAGGTGGGTGTAGGGATGCCGCCCAGGTCAGCAGGGAAGCAAGCTGTTGCTTCTGGGGAAGCACTGAGAGCTTTCGATAAAGAAACTGCAAAAGAGCAAAGCGTTGCTCACTTAGCCCTTCCTAAATGTGCTTTTGGAAGGCAGCAGCCCGTTTGTGGTGCAGCGCTGTGTGGGTGCTGCGCTGTGAGCGTGGGGTGAGGAGGTGCAGAGCAGCACCTGGCTGCATTGCATTGCTGTGTGCTTCTTCTGTGCTCCTCTTGGTGCTTGGCAGCTGCTGCACGGCCGTGGCACGCAGGCTGGGGCACTGTGCCTGCTGCTGCTGCTGGAATTCCTAATGCTTTTTTTGCTTTCCTACACTTCAATTTGGCGAGAAACGCCTCTGAGCGCTGCGCTCCTATTCTGGAGAGAGAACAAAATGATAACTGCAAGAGGAGAGCTGCGAGGATGGTGCTGACAGCACCGGGCTTGCCGTTTTCCTTGTGCTCAACCCACAGCCCTGGCAGCAACAGGGGCTGAGGATTGCTGGCCTCACTGCCGGGCCCTGGCTGCAGCAGGGCTGTGGGCAGCTGGAGGTGCTGGTGCTGCGCTCTGGCAGTGCTGCACTGTCCTTAATGGCAGCAGCAGCTCAAAATGCCCGACCGTGCTGTGGGTGAGCTGTGCTGGGAGGCAGCTCTGATGACAAATAGGTGACCGCTCCACTTCTCATCTCCGTGGTTTCCTGCGAAGCCGTGCCCTGTGCAGGGGAAGAGCTGTAACAGGAACAAGCAAACATCCGTGCTTCCTGGTGACTGCGGGCTGGGAACGCGGCGCTGCCTGTAGCTGGGTGCTCACTGATTGGATTCATGACTAGATGTGGGGCGGCTCCTGCCTGTCTGCACTGCCCTACGGCCACCCCTGTCCCCACTGTTAGACCCCCAAGCCCTTCCCTGCACCCTTTGTGCTGTCCCTGTATCACTTGGGGGGCTCTGCTGGGGCTGCCGTGGGCTCCCGCTGCTGCCCGTGCCCCGGGTGGCTGCTGGCACACAGTGGTGACAGTGTTGTGTCACCGTGCATGAAGGGCTGCGGAGCTCAGTGATGGATGTTGGCTGCTGGTTTTATCGGAGGCGTTTCCAGGTGTGCAGGTGGGGGGTGAAGGTTCCTGAGCAAAGGTTCAGCAGTGAATCATGGCTCTGAATAGGAGCTGCTCCCCAGCCCGCTGGTCCCGCTGTCATAAATATCTGTCCACGCACAGAGCTTGGAGAGCTGAGGGTGACATTGGGTGACACCGAGGGTGGATGTGGCTGGGGGCTGAGGAGGGCTGTGCCATGACCCCCCCCCTTTCCCTGACAGCCCGAATTCCACATTACCTTCTGCAGATGTCATCATCTGCCCTTCCACAAGGGGAAGCGAGCACAGCAACTTTCCCAACCCAAAGAGCAACTCTGAGCCTCTCCAGCTCCCCTCTGTCTCGTGCTTCAATTCAGCGTGTGGGCTTTTCAATTTGCTCATTGTGGGGAGGAACAAAGAAACCTAACGCTGCGGATCTGCCTTCCTTCCCCTCTCTTTAGCAAAATCTCTCTTTGTCATTCTTCTTTCTGACTTCCACCAATTGCTCGTGCTGTTCTCTCTCCTTTCTTTTGTTGCAGCCCTTAGAAACGCAGGGCGCATCGGTGTGGCTGCTCCATCCCTTCCCAGCATCCCTGCGTGGCTGAGGAGCACAGGGAACATTTCTCTGCTCTTTGGGTTGCTGTTTCCCTGCATCCCTGTGTGTGTGGGGCCGCCTGGAGCCCCCCCAATCCACCTGCACAGTGCAGCAGGTGCTGTGCCTGCACTCTGCTCCATGTGCACATCCCTTGTGCCCACCAGGGGACAGCCCTGTGTGGCTTTGTGCAGGGCTTGGTGTCACCATGCTGTGTCAATGCTTTCTGTAGTAAAAATGAGAAGCGTGGGGTGTTTCAGCAGGACGCAGCACCAAAGCCTCTCCCTGCAGCAAGGTGTTCATTGGCTGAACTCTCTCCATTTTCCTTTTGTTTCAGGAGAACCGTCCTGAAACGCATCGCCCTCTGGTCGGAGCAGGTGGTGTGAGCACCCTCAGAGCAGGTATGGCTGTGTGCAGCACCACAGACCCCCCCCACGTCCCTTTGTACCCCCGTGAGGTGAGCAGTGCTGCCAGCAGCGCTCAGCCAGCTGACTGCTGTGTGCAGGCAGCTTGCAAGCAGCCAGCATTTGCTCTGCTCCTTGCAAGCCCTGGCACAGGGGGGAGGGATGGAGGGCTGCTCTTCCCCTGCCCTACACCTCTGTTGCTGGTGTCCCTGCCGTGCTACAAAGCGGCAGCACTGAGTGCCTCTGGTGCTTTGCTTTCAGGCGGTGCAGAGCCCCGAGGGGCTTTTAGGGCTGTATGCAGGGCAGAATCTGAGCGCTAGGTGCTATATCATGCACCCTGTGTTGTCTCATATCCTCTCAGCTGTGGAAGGGGAGGATGGTGAAGTCACAGCTTTGGAGGCTGCTGGGTAAGGGGTGCCTTAACCCCAGGCCCGTGCACAGCAGAGCTTGGAGCAGTGAGCGGGGCTGTGTTGCGCTGCTGCGGAGCAGCTGCTCCAAGCTGCAGGCTCTGCTTCTCCCACTGCTTCACCCCACTGCAACCTTTGGGAGGACACTGCTCCTGTTTCATTGCTGGGAACTGAAACAGAAAAGTCTGTTTGTGAAGGTATTTAGATGCTCCGAGCCCTTTGGCTTTCAATAGGAGGCTGTGTCTAAAGTTACCCAAGGTCACCAAGAAAACCGATTTCTGACGCAGCCGTTGTCTGTAAGCTTTTGCATTCCATTCTGTGATTGCCAACATGGTTCCACCACTTAATTTAAGTAAAATAACAGTTTACTCCAGGCCAGGCACTATCTGCTTTACCATTCCAGGTGAAAAATTGAAAGTTCTTGTACTCAGCAGGTTATTAGTTAAAGCTGACTTACCTTGAATGCGGTTCTCAATGCGCCTTCCCTGCTCCGTCTTCAAAGCTCCAAATCAAAGCCGGGCAGCGTTGCTGGTGGTTTCTGCCCCGTGTCTCAGGCAGCAGGGAGTTTCTAAGCCATGCCAGCAGCGTTGCAGTGCTCAGTGTCCCTCACAGCCCTCCGGAGCTGCTCCGCAGAGCTCTCCAAGAGAGGGCAGTGTGTCCCTGGCAGCGCAGCGTCAGCCAGCAGTGAGCTGAGAGCACGAGTCCTTACATCAATGTGAGATGAATAATTGACAGGCACACTTGTTAGCAAACGTGCTGGGAGCTGTGAGTTCTGTTGGCTGTTCCCCAGAATACAGCAGTGCTGCTTCTTGCCTCACTTTCATGAGAAGCATCGCCGTCCGCTCCCCCTGCGTCGCTCTGCCCCACTTCTTGCACTTGGCATCTCCTCCAGAAGGGAGCAGTTTTCTTGGGGTCTGTGTGGAGCTTTGCCTTGAGGATGATCGGATGGAGAGCTGATGTAAAACGTGAGGAAACTGCAGAGAAAAGCAACTGAAAGGGTTGTTCTGTGGTCGTGTGTTGCCCAGGCTGCGGGTGGGAGGTTCTGATGCCAGTTGCCATCCCAAAAGCCAATCTCCAAAGGCCATTCGTGTGCCCTGGGTTCCACCCAGCCCTGCTGTGATGTTGCAGCTCACTGCAACCCCCAGCCCCGCTCTGCTCCATCCAAAGCTGCTTTCATTCCGTTCATTTCTCCTCCATCCCTGATTTTCATGAAGGGCCCTTTATTGGTGACTGATGTCTTGAGGAACTGCCCTATTAATTGCTGCTCCATCAGGAGCTCCTCGTTTCCCAGGGCTCATCAAGGCTCTTCGTTTCCTCGCTAATTGCCTTCAGAAGATAGGGCACTTGTGTAACCCAAAGGCACATTGAGATAACCTCAGAAAGTTGCTCTGACATAAAACCGTATCCCAGGAGAAGCGGCCACATTTCAAACCACGCCATGAGCCTCAATGCACAGCCTGCCTTCCTCCCCTCCATTCTCCCATTTCTCCCTTTTTTGGGCTGCAAATTGCTGGTGTGGCTGCTATCCTTTATCTGCTGCCTAAAAGAAGGAGGAGGTGATTTGGGGGCAAAACAGGATCGCACAGCCCAGAGATGGATCTCCCATAGAAGGGCACTGTTGCTGTGGCACTTTTTAGTTCCATTACTCTCAGTGCGTTATTTAAATGGCATTTTCCAAACAGCTGAAGGGAATCGGTGTCCTAAAATCAAACCAGCCCCACCGAGCCCTGCTGTTCCCATGGGTTGTTCCCCAGAGCCTTGGGAGCACTGCAAGATGGGAGCAGAGCTGCAGCCCCACGTGTTTACTGAGGAATGAGGCTCTCCTTTTCCTTGAAAGAATGAACTCTTGCAGATGGAATGCTGCTGTCTGTCTGTGGGGTTCATTTTCCACTTGTTCCTCTTTTGTTCCAAGGAAAAGCCGAGCTGGAGCAGGGCTTCCTGGCAGCTGCAGGCGAGCGTTTGGCTTGCAGGATGCTTTGCAGTAACCCAGCACTGGTTCTGGGCTGTGTGCTGGAAGGGGGGACAGCTTCCTGTGGCAGGGGAAAGAGAACCTGCATGTCCCCGGGAGGAATGGAGGGGGGGAAACGTGAAACCTGCCCCGCAGGCATTTTGCAGTGGTTGTCTGGGTGCGATTGTTTGGCACTGATTTTTATTTGCCAGCTCCGGGTGTCTGTTTTTGGGAACAGCACGAAGCCAAACCCCTTGGACACGCAGTCCCTGTGTGCTGAGCTGCAAACAGTGTGACGCTGGCACGGCTTGGAGCCCTGCTGCTGGTCGGGCAGCGCGCAGTGTCACCCCATGGGTGGCTGCAGGTTGGCTCAGCCCTGGGCTTGTTTCCCCTGCCAGCCAGCGGCAGCGCGTGGTCGTGCTGGGGAATATCGTGTTCTTCACCTTTGCCCTGGGAGCAGCATGTAAGGAAGCGGGGCAGAGTGTATTCCAGCACGCTGAGGTCAGCCTTGTTTTCCCACTCGGAGCAGGAACAGACCATCCCTGGAGCGGCTCTGCAATCAGGCAGAGGCTGTGCTCTGCACAGAGCCAAAGATGGGGCTGCGCTGTGCAAAGCTGCTGGCTGCCCCTCGTTTGGACCTTCTGGCCAAAGGGCGTGCAGGAGGAAATGCCACCGTGCTCCTGGCGGTGTGTGCAAGGATCCTGCAGGCTGTGCTTTGGGATGGAAGGGGTTTTGGGTGCTGAGCTGGGCACAGCAGCAATGTATATGGCTGCTATGGGCTCTCAGCGAAGCCCTGTGGCTGCACGCAGCTGTTCTCAGCACAGCTCAGCCCATACAGAAGGGCTTTGGGCTGCAGTGGCTCGTCCTGAGCAGGGCCCCGAGTCTTCCCTGCAGCAGGGATGGAGCATCTTTGGCATTTGTCACCTCTCACAAAGCACCAGAGGCACTTTAACAACTGCAGATGCCTGGCGGGGCTGAGCTGCTTGCTATTTAAATCTGCTCGCAATTTAGAAGCAGCAATTTTTTTTTTCGTGCCCTGAAATCCCCCGGCGGTGGGGGGGGGGTGGGGGGGGGGAGGCTGAGCTCTGGTTTGGTGCAGCTGTGATTTACGGGGGCAAGTTCCCCTTCAGCAATTAGCAGGAGGCAGCGGGATGCTGGGAAAGCAGTGCTTGCTCCTTTTCCTGATGAAGCACAAAAGGAGAGAAGTGCATTTGGTGATGGGTCCCTCCAGCCTGTTCTTCCTCACTCCTCCTATGGAGGACCCTGAGGACAGGATGTTTTCCCTACTCCTGGTGCCCTTCAGCACCGTGCATGCTTTCTGCCCTCCCTTATACTTTATTTTGGGAGAAGCTGACCAAACCCCCTGAATTTCAGCCCTTCCTGTGAGCTGGCATTGGGCACAACAGCAGGGTCCCAGCGTTGGCATTCACCATTTGGGTCTGAGGGCACGTGGGCTGCTCCCTGTGTTTAGCTAGCAGCGTAGGGGGCCCAGACCCCGACCCCCATCCCTCTGCCCTTTGCTCTCTGGAGCCCTCAGCCCTCCTTGATGTCCTGCCCTGTTCAGAGCGACGCTTTCCCTTCTGCTCATGCAGGGTGGCATTGGGGGCTCCAGCGAGATGTTGGTGAGAGCTGCTGTCCTCCAAAACCAAACCGAAACCGAATAACCCCTATTTGGCAAGAGGGCTTTTCCTCATCCTTGGATTTACTGAAATCCAAAGGCGATGGAGCAGAAGGGGCCGGGCAGCGCGTGGCCCGAAGCCCAGCGGACGGCGAGTGACGTTGGTTTTGTTTCTTAAGAAATCTGTTTGTGCTCAGAGCTCGAGCAGAGCCGCTGTCAGCTCCGTGTTCCTGGCAGCCGGCCGCATTGAGCAACGCCTTCCTGGCAGCAGGGGGGGCCGTGCTGCTCCTCGTGGGGATCCGGACCCTCCCCCAAACTCCCCCCTCTTGCAGCCATTTGGGGCTTTTGTGTTCTTTTGCTTAAAACCCCAGCTGGCTTCTGCAGCAGCCCTGCTCTGTGCTGCCTGCATTCCTGCCTGCTGCTTTGGCCGTGCTGGCTGAGCACAGCTCTGCAGAGCTCTGTGTGTTCCGTAAGGATTATTAAATCATCCCTTCCAGCCGTCCCCATACAAACAAGTCAGCGCTGAAACATTATCTGCAAGCGCTGACTAACGAGTCCTGTAATTAGTCATCTCCAGTTAATGAAGGAGCGCGGTGATTAAAGCCTCATGACTTTTCTATAGAAGAAATGAGTTAAATACCAGTTGCGCTGCATCAGGTTGCCCGGAGCTCACTGTGAGCTCAGAGCAGTGGGAAGGTTTGGGGTTGCTCTGTCTGTTCTGTTGTTGTTCTTCCACCAATGCAATATTAAGGCTTGGTTTAAGCTGGAACTGACCTCGCTGGCTGGCTGTGCTGCTCTGACACTGCATAGAACAAAATAATTGAGGTGTTTAGCAGCAGAGCATGGGGCTGCAGTGTGTGAACACGATGTTGTTTTCATCACCTCTGTCTTTACAGAGCTGCATTGGCCTCAGTGCTTCCCGTGCAGCCCTGATCCCCGTGCAGCCCTGATCCTCATGCATCAGCAGGCAGCCCCATCTTTCAGCCCCGCGTGGGAAATGCAGCGGGTTTCAGCATGAGATGCT